AACCATCCCTTTCTGTTTCTTTTCAATTCTGTTACATACTTCTTACCTGATACAGCCAAAGAATTTGTCCATCCAACCACCTTACCAGAGTTGATAGCCCCATCTATGAAACCTTTCAACCAGACTAAGACCTCCTTTGACACCAACACAGTCGCCCTGTTGATCTCTCTGATTTTCAAAACATCCTCACCTTTGATCCTTTCCTCTTCGAACTTGAAAGTCTTGGCTTCGATCAACACCTCAGACCTCCACCTTCCTACTACTCTGAACCTGCCCTCGTCCAAGAACCTACCTTCCATGGCTCGCTAGTTTCTTTAGTCTCTCCTCCCTCTTGCTTCTTTCAAAAACTTCAAACACTCTCCCCTTGCGCCTTCCCTTGCGTGCAGACCCTATTGTGGCAACCGAATGGGTGATTTGTCCAAGAGACCACCCGAACTCTCCTCACTCTTCTCTTAACTGGAAAACTGAATGACTTTATTCCAATTCACAGCTCCTTAAATAGGAGATTACAAGAGGGAAGTCCTTATTGTATTCGACTAGGCTAGGATAATCCAACTTTAAATCAAACTCCTACTTCTAATGCTAACAAAACTCCTACTAAGAACAGAAGATAAGATAAGGATAGATGGGATAAGGGATAAGGTAAGCAGGTGGCGAGTTGGCAAGAAGAGCTGTCGTGGCAAGATAAGTGTGGACTCCTGATGAGCTGTCGTGTGGGCCCCTCCTTATTGCTGCTGCCGGCGGCGGTAAGTCTTTCCCACGAATGCATCCATAACACTAACTGAGTAGCTGACTCTACCTTTTTTTCCCTTTGTTTACATAACTTGTGTATCCCTTTAGATGGTTCCCCAATCCAATGAAAGTTTTGTACCCTGTTCACCCCTTGTCTTGCTAAATTATCCTTGGTTGATCTGTATGCCCAAGTAAATCTATTTCTTTATCTCCCTTGCTAGGCAATGCCTTTCCTTTATTTGTCTCTATAGCACCATGATCCAGGCCTGTTTAGCTTTAGCCATTAAATAATAGTATTTTGAATTTCCTTGCATGATTAAGTCATTGTAGTTAAGAGCTCCATGTGTAAGAGCATAGACATGCATAACGACGTTTCCAAATATGAATAGGTGTGCGAAACACATACCTCAACCGTCAATGTGTTGTGAAATGCCATCTCTAATACCCTTTGTTCATTCCTAAACTGTGAAATAAAGTCATTTACAGCAGTAAGTGATAAACTTCAACGTTTGGAAGATGTGGCATAACTAGTGCGTCACTTTCTGTCATTGACATTCCCGCATGCACTTTCTGTGTGACTTTCTAAAAGCAAAACAGATAAAGACAAAATAATAAATAATCCAGAAACTTCCTAAGAGCAATTATCAAAGGTGAATCAGATCCGGAGAACAGACAAGCTTTAAGAGAGACTTTCAATACTGTCTCCCACTCTCCCTCATCATCCCTGATTCAGAATATTTCTCATTCCATTCCCCCTTCACCCGAGGAGGACATAGTTCTGCCTATCCAGTTCTTCAGCCCTCCTTCACCATATCAGGAGTCTGATTTTGATCTCTCAGTCTCAGTTTCATCACTACACTAACATTCAGAAATCCAACAGACTGAAGCCTCACTTTGTCCCGCACCATGTAATGGTGCTGCTAGTGTTTCTTTCTGCCTATATGAGCAGAGTAAATGCCCAAATTTGCTACCTCATGATTATTTATATAAAAAAATGCTACCTCATGATTTTTAAATACTTCCCCATGCCTGGTGGTCCTTGGTGCGCCCAAGTTAAGCTATCAAAATTAATTTTGATGAAATGGCCGATTCTCTGGCCAAGCAAGGGGTGTGAAGGGGTGATCTGTTTTGGGCTACTTTGTAATTTGTATCTAAGGTTTGGGCATGTTTAGTGTTTATGATTCAGTCCTTGGGGGGGGGGCTGGGGGGTAACATCTCGTGCCTCTTCCTAGGCTGCTTGTATTTCTGATATTTATTTCAATAAAATTACTCTCATTTATCAAAAAAATAATAATTTTGCTTTCCACAATTGGGACCAACAACATTGCACCTTATTGGTTGATGAAGATGAATATGCAATATGTCTCCATCCCCTAATTTTCTTCTCAGTTTTTTGATCCTCCTTCCATGATGAGGCCAGTGTAGTTAAGAGCTCTCCCCACTTCAGTTCTTGCTATAGTACTTGTAATTATGCCTTTACTTTGTTCCCTTGGCCTATATGACTGGAGTGGATGGCCAAATTGTTCCCGTACGAGTCATGATTCTTGATTACTTCCACACACCTGATAATCCTTGGTTGCCCAATCATCAAAAATCAACTTTATCCAATGTAAAGGTGGTTGGGACCAACAGCATTGCACTGTATTACTTGATAAAGATGAATCTACAGTATGTTTTGGTCCCCTGTTTATGTCCTCCACTGGAAATTGCTCGGAAGTTGGAGAGGGGAGTTTCTTTGACTCAATTGGCCATCCTCAGCATTATGTTTTTTGCTCTATGCTTCTTTTGATTAATTTTCCTCTTTGAATATGCAATAATTTCTTTCTTTTTTTTTTTATTCTAAAACGACCATGGTATAATAGCCCTAGTGCACCTCCATAACATTTCACCTGTCCTATTCTTGGGACTATATAAATTATGAACAAGCTCTGTATATCCCCAGAGAAGGCACCTACATCCAAAGAGGTCAAAGAAATGCTCCCAAATGTGTAACGCTAGGAAATTAGTAAGTGAATAGTAGCTTCACCATTTTCCATGCATAAGAGAAATGTTAGGTGACAATCACCAGTTAGATTGCTTCTTTAATCTATAGGGTGTCACTTGTTTATCATCTATTGGAAAACCTTCCTGCAGAAAGCCTTGATCTTTTTAGAGTAGGTCCAAGCCATGAAAGCTTTATCCGGGAAAGCCAGGTTGAGAGACAATATTAAACCGAGTGTAAGAAAGAATACAAGCACTTCCATAAAGCTCGTTTATATGCACAGATAATACGATAGCCTGGTTATAATTAGATTGACGAAATTGATTTTATTTCTCAAGTTTATATCTTTTAAATTATGCTTGTTGGCATAATTTTTCTTCCATTGGAGCCATATAAAGATGCCATGGCCATGTATGCACTAAGACTTTGATATATGCAGGGTGCAATAATCTGCCCTTTCTACATGAAGACTGGTACTTGCAAGTATGGTGTCACATGCAGGTTTGACCACCCGCCACCAGGTGAGGCCATAGCCATGGCAACAGTGCAAGGAGCCTCCACAACTGTTGGTGAAGAGGAACAAAAAGATGCGCAAATGGTCCAGGAACAACAGTAAGGGTTCTCTTGCCTTGTTGGGAAAGAGTTGAGCTTATGGTTTAACGTTTCATTTGATGCTCACTATGATCTGGAATGTGTTCTCTCCAACACTTTTTAAGTATTTATTAATTGGCAGCAATTCTCAGGATGTACTAGATTTACATGAAAAAAAGGAGAATGATGGAGATGGTTCTCTCGTGTATTAACTATTCAATTTTCCAAGTAGTAATAGTACATGCGAACCATCTGCTAAACATTACGCTCGGAGTGAAACGGATAATGTTAGTAAGAGCATTCACCAATTCTTTTGTTTGGGTCTTGTAATTGAAACTCAATATCTTGATTTGACTTTTGGATATAGGAGCTATAGTGTCTACGTAGTAATGTGATGCTCATGTTTATACATGCTGCATGTGCAGCGCAGTTGGGTCATGTACATGTTTTACACATTAGAGGTGGATTAAAGGGTGGAAGCAGACCGGGGTGCACGTTAGGTCCCCTGATCATTGAGTGCCTTTATTTAATTTATTTATTTCTGTAGCACTAAGGCGAGATTCATTGATCAAAATCTCATGTTACATCACTTGCCAGGGATTCATATTAAGAAATCGGAGCATTTAGATGGACTGCATTTTCAGTATTCTATGATCTGTTCTACTGGTAGTATGCAGTGGAGTTTTTGGTGTCATTATTGACGAAAGATTTCGAAACTCAATGTAAGAGTAAGAATAAGAAACCAAATGGGAAGGACTCAAAATATGGACCCTATCTTTCTAATATACAATCTAAAAATATGTATGCTTACAAAATGGCTGAGAAGAATTTCAAAAGGAATGGGCTTAGGTGGTGTTTGATGAATCTAAAATCTGAATTCTGAAAAGGTAAAAGATATTAAGTGTCTGAAATCTTAGTGAGACATAGATGTTTTTGTACTTTTTAAAGGCTTTGAAATTGATAAGGTTATTTATTTACCAAATGAAGAATATGGTGACAATGAAGAAGCAAAAAGGAGGGAAAAGAAAGACTTGGAAGCCAATAAAACATACCTGGAGCAATCTTTAGGTGACATACAATCTTTTTTCTTGTTCGAGAGACAAAACACAAATGAGTTAGGTTTTTAGGTTTGGGGTTAAACATGGGAAAAATACGTCATTTCAAAATTATTGGGAGGTATTTTTGACTTTGTGCTAGTTTCAAAACATGTCTGAGCGTATTAAGTCAGGTTGTGAACTTACAATTTTACATCTGAAAACAAAATTCGGACCAATTTTCAGAAATGACACTAAATGGGTCCAGTGTCTGAAATGCAAGTTTTTTCAGACATCAAACCTCTGAAAGGCGTTATCAAACACCACCTTGAAACATCGAGCCCGGGGAGCAGAAGAAAGAAATAACTGAGCTTTTTTTCATTCTTTGAGCAATCTCAGACAGACATCTTCTGCGTCGGGTCCAGGCTAGATTTGTTGAATACAGATGTCCTACCGAAAATGCACTACAGCTGTATATTGGTAGCATGTAAATGCAGAAGATAATCCCAATGTACAACTCTATTGTCCTGTGGGTAGGAGATCCAAGCTCGGGTTATCACTTATGATAACGATTATAGCTTATGCCCGAGTGTTTTTTGCCATTAATTAATTAAGCTACGAGAATTTAATTACACAATATTTCATATTACATAAAAATACAATATTTTATATGCATAAACATCGGCTGAAGCAGGCCAGGCCGGGACTTATAGATGAATGTAAAGCTCATCTTGTATATCCACGCAAGTTGCACTCGTTTGTTTGGAGATAGATGCAAAACTCTAGTTTTCGTAACTAGGCAATGTGAGGCTTTATGGCCACTCAACTTGCATTGATCTATATTCTATAAACAAGACTTGTGGTTACATATATTAGTCATTATGTGTGTTAAGGGAGGAAAGAGAAAAAGCCTGGTTTTGACAACAAACCAGAATTTCTGGGTTGATTGGACTGAGCAATTACATGAGAATTCCTGGGACCGACAAACAAATAACACCACCGGCTGACGCTTCATAGATTGTTTTCACTGCTATAGGCTTGGTAGTTGTGATTTGTGATGAATTCTGAGTTAAGGCAGTTGAAGCCAGTAATCTAGGGATGAACCAAAAGCTATATCGGAATCGCAATTTAAGCAAGATAAATGCTTACATGTCTCTGCTTGACCAATAAGGTGGGATGCGACCAGATAATCCAGAGTGACCTAATCGACGAGCCTCGATTCAATATAGTAAACTAAATAGGGTTTGTATTGCCACTTGCGTGGTTAGTGGCAGACATTACCCGTCTGTTTTCTTGCTAGCAAGTCTTTCCCATGTACTGAAATTCATGTTTCTTAGCTGCGTTTATGCTCATACTCAGTATATGCGTATTCGTGTCTATGCTAAGTGATGAGGGACAATTTAGCCCATTCAATAATGTAATGACACGTGTAGTAATGGAATGATATGGTGATACTTTAGCAACCTTGGACATCTCAGCGATCCTAGTCACCTTGGGCGCCTCTAGTCATCCCGCTAGACCGAGGCCCAAGCAGCTCACTACATCCATCGACCTACCGAGGTGCCTCTAAGAAGCAAGGTAGCTGTCTTTGATTTCATCGGGATCACGGCATATGTCAGCGGATTTTATCTTCTCGTCGCCCGAATCAGACGGAACTGGATAAGCCTTATGAGCTTACTCAGTGTCCATCTTTGGGTGCAAAGATAACTCTGGGTTACATAGGCCAGTGATCTTAGACACACATCGTGAGGCTCATAGTACCTTGCCTATATAAAGGCTTCGCCTTCGGCCTCACAAGGTACGCACGATTTAGCTTTTGCATCTTCTTACATTCAAAGCTATCAGCTCTCTCAAATCTCCATCGCTAAGTTATGCATCGAAGTGCCCACACCGGTAAAACACCTTGGAACGCTCTAATACTATCTTCCTACAGCTCGACCAGTGACATCTCTAGCCTGACGTCCGAGCTGTCCTCCTGTAGGGAGCAACCAGATCGCACATCATTAATTGGCGCTGTTTGTGGGAACAAGCAACAAAAATTCGTATTCTCACTACCTTTCTACTACTACGATTTCAATGGCATCTTTAAGCAACAACCAACCCGGCAAGAACAACCAGATCATAGGGGGCAAGACTAGCCCGGTGCATAACCTGAAGTCCTCTCCGTGACCATTGGGCAGTTCACAGTGTCCCTGACCCTGCTAGGTGTGCCAGTAGTGCCAAACCTAGCTTCCCCCTACACCAACTGAACGCTCCTCTCCCTCCTGTTAAACCATCAGTGGTTCCTATTGGGACCGACGTACACCGATTCATTGAATTGGTGCAGTATGTTCATGATTTGACCTCTAGATGCGGACATGGAAGGAAAGATTTTCTGCCTTGGTAGGAATGCAATAGCAGCCACAGCTGCAACAACCCCAATAGCAACAGTAGCAGTACTAGCAGCTCGACGATCAACAACTCAGCAATAGGAATCAGGACTAGGCCCAGGGCCCACCTCGTCGCCCTGATGACCGAAACCAGGTCTTAGTTGAAGAACATGGTAGAGCCATGACACCCATAAGAACTGAAGGCAACAACTCAATTGAGGTGTCGAGGAGAAGGCGTCGTCGACGTACACGCCACAACACTGGGAGAAGCCACCTCGCTCCCACCAACAACAAGGAGGTGGACAGAAAAGGAGAGGTGAGCCAGGTCGCCACCCAGCTAGTAGCATAGCAAGTGACTTGCATCTCCTCTCTTGCACCTGAGATCCTTACGGCCCATGGCCTAAGGACTTCAAAGCCCCAATCCTAGAGTTACGACGGCACAACAGACCCAATCGACCACATCAGCAGTTTCCAGGCCCTGATGCAGCTTCACGAGGTGAATGACACAAGCCTCTGCATGGCCATCCCGATGAATTTCTAGGGTACAACTCGGATGTGATACTCGGGATTGGCTGCGGGCTCAATAAAAAGTTGGAACCAGTTTGTAGATCTTTTTACGACGCACTTTGCCACTAGCAAGAGGTGCCCAAAATTAGCGACCTGCCTACTGAACGTGGTCCAGCGACCAGACGAGATGTTTCGTGACTACAACAAGAGGTTCAACTTGGAGCGCCTCCAGATTCTAAACCTCGATCCAACATTCCAACTCACTGTAGTGGTCAATGGTGTTTGCCACCTTGACTTGCGCTGGGAAGTTGAGTTGAACCCTCCATCTTCTATGGAGGAGTTCCTCCACGAGGCCGACAAGTTCACCAAGGTGGAGGAGGTGCTAGGATCCCGATTAGAGCTGACTGGGAAGGGGAATCAAGCTGAAGAAGAGCTAGGAAGCAACAAGCAACGACACAAGAGTATGTCACCGAAGAGAAGCTAGTAACCCCTCAACAGGTGAAGCAGGTTGCAGAGAAGGAGTAGGTCCACCCACCAGAGTTCCAGATCAGGTCAGCATTTAAGAACTCCTCCAGTTGAGAGCTAGAGTTACACAACCCTCATTGCAAAGAAGGGTGAAATTCTGATGTAGATAAAGACAACCAAGTGTGTGAGATGGCCACCTAGGATGAGAAGCGGCCCCGCCAACAGGAACTCGAATAAGTACTATCACTTCCACTATGATATAGGCCATGATACAAAGAACTGCAGAAACATAAAGGATGAGATCGAGGAGTTGATCCGTCATGATTACCTGAAGTGGTTCATCAAGTGTGACGATCGAAGCCAAGAGAAGTGCTAGAGTCAAGCAGGAACTAGAACCGAGGTCAGTCACCTTGGGACCCACCACCACCAGAGCGACCTATTTGCGGGGTAATCAACATGATCATCGGAGGTTCGATTGTGGCAGGATGTACTAGTGCGATAGGGAGAAACTCAGTCTGGGAGCTCGAGCACGAGGATGAGAACCCGCCGAAGCGCCCTCAAGTGGAGGAAGTTATATACTTCATTGAGGATGATGCTCGTGGGTTCTAGTATCCGCACGACGACGCCCTCGTTGAGTTGATAATCAATGACTTTGAGGTAAAGCGGATTCTGGTTGACTTCGGAAGCTCGACCAACATCCTCTTTTTGGACGCCTTTGAGAAGAAGCAGTTGAAGAGGAAGGATCTATAGCTAGCCGACGTCCACTTGTAGGCTTTAGAGGATACATGGTGAGGCCTCTAGGCCGTATCAATGTGTCGGTCACAGTAGGCTTGGACCCTAACTCAATTTATTTCGAGCACAACTTCCTGGTGGTCGCAATTCTGTCCCCCTACAATGCCATCCTAGGTCGGCCCATCCTGCATGCACTTCACGTAGTGGTGTTGACCTACTACCTCTTAATGAAATTCTCGACGAGGTACGGAGTAGGGGTAGTACGAGGTGACCAG